AGCGGCACTTCAGATTAAATATGTGATAACATTGACCGGAGAGCGTTCTGGATAGAAGTTTGTGATATTGATTTACGTATAATTTTAGGCGGTACTTCACGCTATATAGATAGTGACATAACAAGGCCGTCGATTCATTTTTTTCGTTGCAACCCTGTCGTTTGCATATTATTCAGTGGCCTGCATCCATAATTTTTTCCTTACCGAATCAATAAAGTCACGTAAGACCATGACTGTCTCTTTAGAACCTTCCTCGGCATACGCCGATGAGATTCATCAAGGGCGAGAATGTGATATATGGAGAGATATCGTTCTTCATACTTTTATCTTGATCGTTCGAATTTTATTCGATATGCGCTATGTACGTGTACGTATATTCATTATATTTTATTGAGTCAAGCTTAATGTGTTAAAATTAACTGTACTGCGCGCGTTATTACAATTAACAACTCAATAGAAATACATATTTATTTTATGATTGTTAAGCATTAGTTTCATATCTCGCAATTTATATCTACGTTTTAAGAGAATATTGAAAAATATTGAATCACAATAGAATAATAGGGTACAATTCCGTACTGAAAGAAAAATTTTTAGTATTTGTAGTTATCGTTACATGTTACTATAATTATGATTATTACTGTTATAATATTAATAATACAATAATAACAACTATGTATGTATAATTCTATTTACAAATATATAAATTATAGCTGGCAATTGAAAATGACTGTAATTAATATTATTACTATAAACATGGACTTATTATAATTTATAGTAATTACAACCATTTTTATGATAATAATATCCATTACAGTTATTTTTTGTTGCCAACTATACATATATAGTATACATATATAGCACTAACATTGTAGCATAATTATAGTAACATATAATTACAGTTACAAATACAAAAATTTTGCTCTCAGTGTTAACACAGTAAAATTTTGAAATAAAATTGGAAATAAAATAATCCAATTTTAGAGATTCAAGTTGGCAATTATGATCTCATTGTGTGGAGGGTATTAAAAAAAAATTGAACAGGAAAAAAACGAACTTGACACTTTTGCTAAAATCTTTGCTAGAATTGAGTTCAAATTTTATTTCGTTCACAATTCTCCCATTGTTCAAAATTGTACCACTTCAACCTATTATTTTATTGTCTCGCATTGCTATCGTAGTTTGTATAATTTCGGATTAACTATACCACATGTATACAGCGTTTTACCAAAGTGTGCATAAAGGAATATACATAGATAAGCGATAACATCCAAAATTGAAATTGTCTGTTGGTGTCAGCTAGGCATCATTAATATCAGCAGGTATAATTTGCAAAACAATCGTGGGAGTCGGACTACACATCGTTTGTGGTGCTTCCCGTCGACTGGATTCCATTGAATGCAATATACTCTTATTCACGAGCGCCGCGACATTTGCAAACAAAAATTCCCCACAATTGTTTGTCAGAGTAAGGTGGCTCACGCGCGGACACGCTTGTTTATTATCGACATGGATCGATTTACGCGATTCGAACGTACCTACATATCCCGTCGATTCCCGCTTCGCTCGTTTGTTTGTTCGTTAAAGTGCAGCCGCGCGCGATTTTTGCAACGTTACATTTTGTGGCACAATGGTACCTTGACGGTGACAAAAACTGAATTTAAAAAAAAAAAAAGAGGAACATTCAAATCCATTTTTTTCCAATTCCAATAGTTAACATTGGATTGACATGGATTTTTTAAAACTTCATCTTGACTGTTCCACTAGTAATTTAAATAATTTTTCACGTGTCACCTTTGAAATTTTCTACTCCAGATAAACGATGAGAGCATCGTTACGTAGCGTGTTCTGTATCTTTATCCGAGGATTCTACCATCAGCCTCTATTTTCCAATAACGTTCGTTTAGTCATGCTGTACCTGTGACGCGAGATGTACGGCAGCCACCAAACCTTCGTTGTCGGAAACAAGATCGTAAAATGCAAATTGCTCGACGATGCGCCGCATCAGACTGGGCGTGATTGGCCTGAGTAAGCCTCGTAACTCACAATCCTCGTGAGAGTCAATACACGAACGCTACTCAAGATGCGTTTCAGCTATCGTGAATTCGAGAACGAAGTGCGTAAATAATTTTTATTCGCTACCTCGGTTACGATCGCAGAAAATTGCATCTCGTGGAAGATCTACGGAGTTGTATTAGATTTAGGAGTTATTATCATTTATTAAAAAATAAATAATGATGCAAAAACCGGTTTGCAAATCGGTTACGTGATTTAATGAATACACGGGGAAAACGAATTCTTTAAAAATAACCGTTACTTAAAAGGATAATGTAAATTGAGCAATCGCTTTTCTTACAGATAATAATAGAACGATACTTTTCCGTGTTCTACATAATTAGTTTGATGGTTCAGCATAATTATTTTTAGATTTATAGCTAGCTAAATTTTTAGACATTTCAGCAAAACCATCCTTTGCGTTTCATATACATACATATTTGAATACATGTATCGAGCAAGTAATGATTGCACATTTTATTTTCTAAGTGTATTCTAAGCAGTATCATTTTTACAATACTGTAACTTATTTATTTTAACGTTTCTGAAATGTTTATCTGTTATGACAATTAAATCTTCGTGGATCACCAATTCGTACAATTATTTTCGATGGAAAGTCACGGTTGGAGTAAATCAAATGTATTGCTAAGAAATCCAAACGATCAACTCAATGTCAATTGGTCTCGGTTGTTGGGAAATATTTGTGATATGGACGATGTGCGTTTTCGTACCACGCTTCAAATGTAGAAAACTATGCTGTATGGTACGATACCGCGGCGGAGACCCTTTGTGTCTCCGATAGTATCCCCGCTGAAGTGGGCGCAAAGTGGGACAGGAAAACGAGAAGGCGGGCGGCTCTGGCTGTTAGGTAGGTAGGTGGAGAACACAAAAAGCAAAGCAGAACCCACGGTAAGCGAAGCGTTCTCGATAAAGAACGAAACAAGTCGCGATCCACCCGGAAACTCGTCCCTTTTTGCCAGACGCGAAGGTACTTGAGCGAAATTGGAATAATCGGAAATCGACGGAAGGCTTGTGCCATTGTTTTCTCGATTATGCCCTGAGAAGGGAGGAAAAGAGAGAGAAAGAAAGAGATAGAAAGAGCGGGGTAAACCCGACTGATGCGAAAGAGCAATTGTTCGCTTTTTTTTTCCCTTTTCTTTTATTACTTTCATTAAACTGTCCCGCGAAATTGATATCCGTAAGCATAACAAAACAAATTAGTTGCGCCCTTCGACACGTTTGATTTTATTTAACCACATTGTCGTGCTCCTCCGCGTTCTGCTTTTCTCTCTCTCTCTCTCTCTCTCTCTCTCTCTCTCTTTCTCGACAATTGACGCGCATGTAAAGCTCTCTTTGCAGGTCGACGAGATTAAACGCGAGAATTGTTCGCACGCTATTTAAACGTGTATTGTACGTGGCCGCTATATTAGTTACGATACACGATATAGCGGCTAAAATCATTTTATTGTCGATATTTAGCTCATGGATCGATACGCCAATCGTGTGAGACATTGTAATGCTTATTAGAAAGTGACAAATCAACGTTAAGTTGCATAATGGGAGCATTATCGGTTAATAAATTATCGATCGTTACTAGAGCGTTAAATTCGTCGACCGCGAAGAATCTTGCAGTTTCTAACTTCTGAAATAACGCTAATGCCAAATGTAATAAATGGCATCTTCTTGTTCTGAAAATAAAGATCTGCGTTTCAATCTGAAAATATATGTGACGTGTAAAATATGTCTGATGTACATTTATCATTCGAATAACGTTTATGGAAAAATTATTTTTATTTCAAGCTTCTCGTTCAATTTATCATATCTTGTTCACAATTTGTCATACACTGAAAAAGGTTTTCTTTATTTTAGAAGTTAGAAACTAAAAGAGAAAATCTCTTTTTGGAAAGAGATTCTCACACATTGTTGTATATGTTTTAATGTTAAGATAAAAAACATTCCTTGAATTTGGACGTATTTCAAAATATTAGAGTTATATAATTGATACGTGAATTTGATGATAATTTTGAAAATATGCATTTCGCAAATGTCACAAATTCTTAAATTATTTTGTAAAGTGATTAACTTTATGCTTCGAAATTTACGTGTCAAAAGTTAAAATTGAATATCAAAAAAAATCTGAATTCAAGTGAAAACTTGTAGCGTTTGCACGTTTTAAATACCTATCGCGCGTACATATGCATATGTACATACAATATACGATTTGTATGACCAATATAGCGTGAAACAACGATCATAATTCACACAAACTCGATATACAAACATAATTGAAACAGGTTGCATTGAAGGAAGTCAATTAGGGAAAAATAACGTGCAACCGTCTACATAATTTTTAATCGTTTATTAAATATTACTCATAATTCGCTTGTTCGATGCAGGAATATGTATGATTGTCGTATTTTGAATCGAAATCACAATTTCTCAATGAACAAAGTCAGCCGCAGAACTGCAAATTGCACCCTGCAAATCGGATTCTGCATCGAACAATGCATATTTGATTACAGGATCCGCGCGCGCGGCCCCGTGAAATTGTCAAAGTTTCTCACATTTTATTCGACTCAGACGCATTTTCTATGATGATTACATCGCTTTTATGCGACCACATTTGTTCCATTAATACTTCAGATAATTATCATTACACGTTCGTGAATATTTTAGTGGAAGCTCTCTCTTTCATTATTTTATTGCTGATAATTAACTTTAATCAAATAGTCAGGCATCGGACTCTTTGAATTTAATTAGTCTCACCAATAAATGTCAACTTCCCGAAATCTTTTCGTGTTTTGCTTCGGTTTTTTAAGATTTTCTGCGATGAAAAAATGGCCACGCGCGGATCCTGAAGATGGGCGATGTTAGTTAGTGGACATCTCTTTTTCGGAAAAAAGTTCCGGTTGTTTTAATATCGGCTTTTTTTTTTAACTCGACAGGTGAACAACGCAACTGCGAGGGTACAGACGAAAAAACCGCCGACGGTGCCGAACGGTAAGTGGGCCGAAACTTTCTTATCACTTTTATCTTCCCTTTTAACTTTCGTCCCTCGAGCTTTCTCCCGAGCCGCTGATACTAAACGCCTTAAGCTACGACAGGGTTCCATTAGAGCTTAAACATCGTACGTAAGGTGTTTCCGCGTCATATTACCGTATCGCGTATTAGCGAAAATATTGAAAATATTTTCTGAGAAAATTTTGTAAATCTGGGCAGATAATTTTTGATTGAGAGAATTTAAAATTATTTGGCTTTGCACACTGTCACTATTAAATGTAATTATCAGAATTTAATAATTAGAATAGTATTGCTCGGGCAAAGGCTATATTTTCTTTAACGTTAGATTATATTCGGATTATTGATATGAATTATGCTTGCGGGTATTTGATGCGTGAAATTGAAGTTTTACGGAATATAGTAGGAACTCACCGATAGAAAAATACGACTATGCTTTTGAAAGCGGTCCGTGAAATGGCCGATCGCGCGTATTGCTCGCACGGGAACAGCGCGGTCTATCGCATGAAATAATAAAAAAATATAGCTCGTATATCATTTCTATCACACACGATCTATGCTGTACAAACGCCGAGCGTATTTTCCCGGAGAATATTGCGCGGGAAGTATAATATATACATTTTCCGCGTTCGGCAACTTCGTTGACGTAAGGATGCAAAAGTCTTTCCTTATTGCAGAACAAGACGAAGAAAAGCTTTACAGGGCGTTTTAAATTTCGCGATTCTCTTTTGCGCTTCTCTTCTGCCATGCATTGCAATGGGAAATTTGCTCGATGCAGGCGGACAAAAATATTCTACATGGTTACACACATACACATATTTGCACACTTATGTTCTACGTTATATGTATGTTTCAAGAATATTTGATTCAGCTACGTGAATCTAAAATTCAAATTCGATATTGGAAAAATGTATGTACATATTTACGTAGAAAATCTTGAGCGTAAAGAGAGCAAGTTATTTTCCACAATGTTTCATATCGCTTCGAATTTATAATGGAGTTTTCAGTAAAATTAGCCACACTTACAAAATTATTAGAGTTCACGTTGACTGCTTGATAGAAGTATCGTGTAAAATATTTTTGTTCGGTTAAATTGGCGAAATTTCGTTGTGCTCACGTCCATTACGAATCCACGACACGTAATGCTAGAGAGTTTTAAACTAAATCTAACCTCGGTCCGGTCGTACGGCCCGATTTAAATTGCGGCTTAATCCGGATTATCTGACGGACCACCAGCTGTGAAGAGAACACGTTGCAAATATGTGGTATTACGTAACCGGCTACTGCTCAAATAGGCTCTTTGCTGATTACACTATGAAGTCCTTCAGTCTACCAGATATCTCTAGGTCACAGTTAATGCGCCCGAAAGCTGCGCAGAATTCTCCATAAACTATATATACGGAATATTTGTAAAATTACAGATTTTACAGGGTTACACAAAATTATTAGTTAACAAAAATAATTGTCGAGTATATTAGGTTTCTCTTTTAAAACAATTAAAATATGACTATATTATGGCATTTGTTTATGACAGACTGAAGAATTTACATCTAATGCTATCGATTAAAGAATATTGCAATGCAATAAAAGAGAGGTGATACCAGAAAATTAGAAAATATATATCGTAAGACATCGATAATAACAATAACATTTGATTATTAGCATAAATAGGTGGCTTAATTTTGTTATCTTTGTCACAACTCTTCGATGTATTGCGTATGAATCTTCTTTAAGAGGGTTAACCGAGATTTACATCGACCTCTATCACGGGTCGAGTACGACTCCGATGTTATAAATAATCGGCACTTAAAACAGTAATAACGATTGAACGTGCATTGCCAAGTGTTTCCTAACGTCAATATAATTCTGGTTAGTAGTTTCTCGAGCCCACAAAGGACGTCGAGTGACGTCGACATTGATCGGCATCTCCAATTATAACCGTAACATAATTTCGGTCAAAACGCGAACAAGGCTCTCAAACGACAAACTTGTCTATTTTGCAGCTTTATCATTATTTTTTTTCATTCGTTCCTTTTAATTCAATTTTATTCATCTCTAATGAATTTTCTACGTAAATGTAATTTGTACATAATCAACTTTACAGCAGACATTTTATTTAGCTTCTTGCTTTAAACATTCCAAATAGATGTCTCAATTATTTAGGATTAAAGGCTTTCGGTATTTCTTATAATTAAATTAATCTCTCTAATAGATCCGATTAAAAATTTATTTAAAATAAAAATTATGGAAATAATTTCGCGCCGTGTCGGATTATCCGATGTAACGTTAAATTTAAAGTCACTCGTCCGTGTTTGACATCGTAGCTGCAATACGTTCGACCCGGTTTAATTGCGATCAAATCAACAGGACTTCGTGTCCAGCGACTGAATTGATTCTCTCCCACGTCGAGGCAACGTCCTATTGAGTGACGGCTTGTGTGTGCAAGGTTTAACTCTCTGTGCCCACGCACGCGACATGCAATTATTGGAATGCTAAGGCTCGCGCCCTCCGGGTGTGCTCTGAGAGACGTTAAGATCAATTCGGGCCATTTGGCGCGTACAAGTGCACGCGTGGCCACGACGCCTCTAATAACCGATTCGACAACTGTCGATTTTCGACCAAGTGGAATGGCCGAGACACCTCGCACCTCGAACGATAGTCCCCTCGTGTTCGACAACATCGCAACAACAGTCGGCGGTCGCGCGGCGTTAACAAATCAAAGTGGTATCTTGACATTTTTCGATATTTGTATCTGACTGTTGATAGACGAAAAGGTTACTCCGTTGAAGTTTTCAATTACGAGGTATCGTGATTAAACTCGGAAAGAACTGAGAAGTCACGCTAAACGTGGTGAGAAATGTTAATCGCTGTGAAAGACTGCAAGAATCTTTCTTACTTCTCATACCTACTACCTCTAGAAAGTCTGAGACGTGAGATAAATGACAAAGATGAGATTTAAGTTGTATTTCATTAACTTTTACCGCGCGGTTTTAGATGTTAATAATATTAGAAGGGAGATAACATTTTTTTTTTTTTTTTTAAATCGATCGATCGATCTCAGATGAACTGATTTGGAGCAACTAAATTTTTCATCGCGCTATTTTCGTTTTTTGTACAAGAGAAACAGAAATTAGCGTAGCGTATATGATTCCAGACATGTAACTCAATATGAAGGCGTGTAATTTAGTCTATTTTACACGCGATATAATTTACCTAACATATCATATTAATTGTCCAGGTTTGTAATAAGCATTTAAAAATAGCCGACATTATTGCGATATTATTACAGTCTACAATTGCACAGTTAAATGCGTGTATCAGTCGCGAATCGACCCAATTGTAAAAGTGGCACATGTCTAATTATAGAGAAATTTATTTGACGGCAAATACATATGTATATATAGATGCTGTAATCCGCCTCATTATAGAGTCATTAATCTTAGCTCCGGTATCTTATACCTTCGAAAATAAATCATTATTTCTGTCTCACTACATGAAAAGGACGGCTCTGCTGAGGTATCTAAAAATTTAGCTAGATATTTGAAGCTACATGTTTGAAAATAACTTTGTTGCACTATCAAAATTAATTACGTAGGAATCTGAAGCATAATGAGATGCGCAACGCTGCAAAAAGTTTTCGCAAGTGCAAAACCCCAAATTTATTTCTCTTCCGGCCATGTGAACTCTTGTTCTCATACTTCAAGCGTAATACGCCACGTGTGTAAATAAGGTTGAAAAGAGCCCAGACAAGTTTCGCCACGCCACCAACCCGCTTTTCCACTGCTAGTATATGTTTTTCCTCCCTTATATATATCTTGGATCGACAGGATTTACAGAAGCAGTGTCATAAAAATTGCATACTTGCCCCCGTTCGTTCCACTTTCTCTTAAGCAACGATGCACGAGTCTTTCAATCCTCTTAACTCGATACCAAATTTATGTGTTCGACAATTTTAATGCCTGTCTGAAATAATTTCTCTCTGCAACTGGATTAATCCCAGCAAAAATTTAATTTCGCGTGACTTTTATTATTTTTCAAAGAATACATTTTATTTCGAATTAATTTTAACATACAAAACGCCTGTCTTTCTGATGTGCGCTGCATTATGGTTATATTTGAAACTTATATATGATTGAAGTGCAAATTTATGCGTTTGACAATTTTAACGTTCACCTGATACAATTCAATTGTGATCGTGATATTTTGCTGGCTAGAATGAAAATTTTACTGTCTTTCTTTTACGATAAAGAATAATGAACGGCAAAGATAGAATGACACAAAAGCGTTGATTATTTTGTTATATTACGGCTTTGCATTTGCAAGAACCTTTTGCATCATCGCTCATTATGAGATTCCTACGTAATTATTTTGGTAATTCAGCAAAATTATTTTCAAATCTGCATCTATCTTTTGCGTTTGTTAGACATCAAAACAAGGCTAGAAAACGATTTTTACTCCAGCTAATTAGAAAATGTCATAATCACGTGACTCTTGGCGCCATCTCCGTTATACTATAGAATCTCTAGTAGTGCTTTGCGTTTTAAACATCTCACTTTAGCGCATCTCACTGCAGAAAGTAACATTTTTGCTTTTTGCAGTAGCATAATCATAACGGCAACGGAACCTTTTTGATGATACGAGACGATGCGAATATTTAGGATTACGCCTGACATTTTCACCCTGTGCTTTATCTTCGCTCCGCCGCTGTTTGGTAGCAGCTCGCGTTTCACGGCGTTTCCGCTCGCCGCTTCCGTGAGAACACTCGGTACCGTGGTACGTGATGTCCATAATTTACGCAAAGTCTCGCTGCTCATTAATTGTCGCGTAAATAACGCCCCGCCGCACGGCATGCATACATTTGCTTGCATTCGCGTGGCGCGCACCCTTCGTTCTCTCTCTCTCTCTCTCTCTCTCTCACTCTCTTCAAATCGTGTTACACGCTTCTCCTTTTTTTCAAGCGAATCGCACTTCCTTCGCCTTCA